TCTACATTTACTGACTTTGTCTTATGAACAGATAATTATTAGCTGACTATATTTTCATCTTAAGAGTCAATAGGGATTTTAATCATGATTTTGAAAAAAAATATTGCTCTGTCTTATGCGTGCTGTTCTTATAGCCCCAAAGATGCAACAACTGAATTTATGCAACTGAATTTACACAAAGGTTTTGAGATTTGGATTCAGCAGATCCCCTGGGGGAAGTGATGGTATGATTTGCACTGATTTCTCTTTTTCCTTGATAGCCCAGGCTCTACTTCCTTGCCATTCCAAATATAATTCTCCTGAAATTAGCTGTTCAGTTTCTGAAATCCTCTGAAAAAAGAAGTTTCTATTTTTCTACCTCAGTGCCTTATAATTTGTGCATAATTTATTGCTGAGAAAACTGAAGAAACTTCTTGGATGAGAAGCGAAATGTTTTCAAGGAAATAAACCAAGAAGGTTCAGTCGGGCTCTTGGAAAAGCAACTGTGGGACAACCATGACCTGGATGATTGAGAATCTTTCACAGACATTGCTGAGAGATGGTGATTGTTTCCAATTATCTCTCTGTCCCTCAAACTGTAGCCTTTCTAGCTGACAGCACTTCTGGATCTAAGAAAATCTCACCAAGATAGGTCTATCCAGTGGTGGGTTTCAAATTCTTTTACTACCGGTTCTGTGGCTGTGGCTTGGTGGGCGTGGAATGGCTTGGTGGGCGTGGCTTAGTGGGCGTGGCATGGCTTGGTGGGCATGGCAGGGGAAGGATACTATAAAATCTCCATTCCCTCCCCAATCCAGGGGAAGGTTACTGCAAAATCCCCATTTCCTCCCGATCAACTAGGACTTGGGAGGCAGAGAATAGATGGGGGTGGGGCCAGTCAGAATTTTTACTACCGGTTCTCCGAACTACTCAAAATTTCCGCTACCGGTTCTCCAGAACTGGTTAGAACCTGCTGAAACTCACCTCTGGGTCTATCTATATTGCATGGAACTCCTTAATGGGAAAGGAAATTAAACTAAAACTATCCTTGGGAAAATAAAATGAAAACTATTCCTTTTTTTAATCAGACTGAGAATGGCTGAAAAAGTACAGAAGGGGGGGGGAATGAAGTGCTGATAGTTCAGAAGGGTCTGAAACCCTCCAGGAGTGATTGATGGAAATAAATCTTAGGAGTAAAACTCTGTTTTTAGTAACTCTGAATGCAATCTAGTAAGCGTAAGAACATCTATTGCAGTAGATGAACACAGAGAAGAGTGAAATTGTATGTCCCCGGAGACAAAAATATTATAATATGAGTGCTAGGAAAATGTGATGCTTTGCAACAGATGTGCTAATGGGATCTGTTTGTGTGCTTAGATCCTTTCCAGCAAGTGATTAACAACTTTGCTACTCTGTTGTATCCAGTTTTGATGTCATTTCAGCATTAGGCACATATATTTTAACAAAACTTGCTGGAACTTTTAAATATGTAAGTGTGCTACAATTAATGCTGTTTATTTATTCTGCTAAATGTGTTATAATCACCTTCCACTGCAAATCACCGTCTACTGTTTTGGTCAATTTATACTGTATTTCAATTACTTCTGTTCTTACTATTAGTTATGTTACCATGTTTTCTGCATGTGGATGTGAAAAGATATGTCAAGCACTAAGGGAAGATCCAGGCAGTTCAAAAATGTGTATAAAGATTTATTATAAGCTTAAGCTTTCTACAAGAATCTGAACTACTAATGGTCAAGGGAAATTAGCGGAGTTAAGAATTCTAGAAATTCAAGGTGGCTGGACTTAGATCTCTTGTGGATGCACAGGGATTCATTAATGATGACGCATTTGACCCTTCCCGTGGGCTCAGCCTGGTCATCTCCTACAGGCAGTGATTCTCAACCTGTGGTCCCAAGACCCCTGTGGGGCCGTGATGTTGTCACAGTGTTATAGAAGAAAGACCACACTAGCTCTTTGTCAAAGGGAAAGGTTTATTGCACATGGTTCAGCAGCGATAGCTCAAGCAAAGTCTGAATCCCAAAAGATTGTTACATACAAGCTTTTATACTTTCTCAACCAGGATATACAAGGATATACAAGCAGGATATACATTAGCTATGCATGATTACCATATAAGGATATAACATACCAGTTTCTTTGTTCCTGCCTGGTGAAGCAGATAAAGTGATCTGTCTTATGCCACATTGTCAACCCAGGTGGGTGCGGTCACCTCGGTTTCTTTTATCTTATTGTGCCTTTCTGACATCTTTCTACTTTATTCCCCCCTTTGAAACTCTTCTGACTTTTCAAGAGTCGTTTCATAATCATCCGTATCCGCAATTCTCTGATATTCCCACATGGCCATCACTTGAGCTACCGCTTCCCTCTTTGCCAGCAGGGACAAACTGTTCGATAGTGTTCGTACAAAAATAGGTAATACACAGGGCAAAATCACACATCCAATAGCAATTAGGTCTATGAAGGCTACTATCACTTGCCATCCCAGGAGTTTAGGGAACCAGCTCGAGAAGGCATCTGCTAGATTGAACCCTTTCCAAGTTTGGACTGGGACATGGGCTATTTTTACCATTTTATCGGTTATTTCCTTAATGACCTTTCTGCTGTCATCTATCTCAATATAGCAATTGGACAAATTGAACTTACCACACACCCCTCCTTCCTTGGCTAGGAGGTAATCTAAGGCTAAGCGATTTTGCATAATATAGGTTTGGGACTTCACACTTTCAGTGGCTAATTTGGTTAGGCATTTCACAGTTTCATTTGTTATTATTTCTACTACAGCTTGTAATCTTATTAAGCGGTTTAACAGGTAGATGGGGGTACAATATCCGTAAGTACCATCCTCTGCCCAGGTGGCTGGTCCATACACTTCTATGATTCTCTCTGGTGGCCATTCATCGTCCTTCCAATGGCCTATTTTTACCTTTTCTATCAATGAAGTGTCTATAGCCGCCCTCCGGGTTCGGATATTTCCTACTTCATCATACACCGGTACTCCTAATACCTGTCGCTGACCGAGGGGCAACAAGAAAAATCCAGGTCTTATTATCCCCAAAACACATGCACCACACCAATTAGTTGGGAGTTGGCTATAGGCATACTTTCTGCATATCCAATACATACCATCAGGGGCTAGCCAAATATGAGAAGTGTTTTGAGGCTGGGAAATGTAGGGGCTCAGGAGCGTAACATTCATTAGGGCCTTTGCTTCTGGCGTGGGTTGCTTTCCCTTCCCTGACCACCATTTGCCATTGTTCCAGGTGGATAAACACATTAGTGCTCCTACCTGATGGCACCCTGTGGTATGGTTTCGGACATAGCAGACTGATCCCACAAGGTTTGAAGTCAAGGCCCAGTTTCCATCCTTCCCTGGAGTTGCTGTTAGGTTTCCCCTTTGTTCCATCTCCAATACCACAGTGTAATTTAGTTCTTGTGCCTCCCACGGCCATTTTTGTCCCATATTTGTTCCACCACACACAAAACAGTTGCTAACATTTAAAGTGGCTGCTACATCCTCGGCTAGCTGTACAAAGGTGCTGATAGCCTTGGAGGGCAATTCCTGAATATTCAATTTCTCTATTTCTTGATAATAGGACCAGAATAGGGATTTTTGCTGAGACTTGTTTTGTTTTGCTTATAATCTGTATTTCTATCTCTGATAGTGGGTCATATCCTTTTCCATCGATCCCTATTCCAAACATCCACCATTTGTTTTTCCATTTAGTCTGTTGTAAGTACCAACTACCATTTGTTATAGTCAGATTGACTAAGTTACAGGTGTTTGTTCCACAGTTAGTCACATCTGTGGGTATCTTTTCAATTTTGACTTTTGAATATTCCTTCTGGGCTTCAGTATTCCATTTTACACAAGACCACCACTTGCAGCGTACCGTTGATATGGTACATTCATCTGGGGGACATAAATATTTATGATTGGATGCATAAGTCTGAATCCAACCAATTCATCCACAACTGTCTATCGCTGCCCAATGGTTGGCAGCCTGGCACACATCAAATCTTACACTAAAACCCATGTTTAGTGTCAATTTCCAAGCGGATGTTCCTAATATTATCTGGTCCCACCCAGTTCCATCAGACTTATGAGATTTAATCTGTAAAGCCCAACTCGTTGGATTCAACGTTGGGTCATAACATAGTACCCCCTTAGTCCCATTATATCTCTTATAGGAAGTTCCATTTGCCTTACATGATGTTAAATCAAATTGGTTACAAGAGGGAGGCTTATGTGTGTGATATACAAGAGTTTTGCCAACTGTTGCTCCCGTTATAGTGGTATGTATGCATTGGTGACATTGCTCCTCACCCAAAGCTGCCCGCTGTTGGCGAAGGGTCCCTATGTCTGCTGAGTCTGCCTTCTAACAATATGTCCTTCCTTCCTCCAAGCATGTCTTATATACTTGGGAATCATGAAGGCATTTACTCTCTTCTTGGCACACTGTGGGTGATACTGGATTATATATAAATGCTGATCCCTTCATACACTCTTTGCATCCGGAAACAGTCCTCTTCCCTCTGAAGTCATTCTTCTTTAATATGTCTCTTCTAAGGGATACCCGACAGGTTCCTGCCCATCCTAGTCGAAGGGTGGTTGAGTCAGTAGCCTTCCATTCTTGAAGAATGGGCGGGCCACAATTCAATTGAATATTTTGATTCAAAATCCTGTCTCGGAAGGATAGGGGGTTTCCTAGCGTTCCCTCATACATCCCTCGTCTTAAAACTACTCCCAGGTATTCACACACAAAAATTTTGTCCCCTGTCACCAATTTTCCTATGCACTTCTGGGTTATAGCCCTGTCGAATGTTCGGGGGGTCTCACAGGGATGTGGCCCCAAAGGGTCTGACATCCATGTCCCTGGGTGAATAGCTATATCCTTTTCCCCGCAATTGGGAGGAGTTCCCACAGTGTACCTATATATTATAGCAGGTTTTTGGTTACCAGCACTACTGTTGTAGGAAAATCACGGGACCAGACCAAGCACTTCAACGCAGGAAAGGTTTATTATGCATAAGGTTCAAACAGCAGTTAACACAGCAAATTGTCTGAACCCCGAAGGGTGGACAGAGGTGTTGCTTTTATACTTTTAGACTACGTATACATTGTCTAGGTTGCATTAAGACATATTTGGTCTTAGAGGAAACGAAAGATGTCTAGTCCAGACATTTAGTAATAGATAACAACAAAAAGGAAGTCACATGAACATATTGGGGTATAATTATACATAGCACACGTTATACATGACATTTGGGGTGAAATGCAGAAGTCAGCAACAGGATGCATCTGTCTGGGTCAGTCTGCTCTTTTCAGATAAAAATACCCTCTGTCATCTCAGCAACTCCTTACTGGCATAAAGAAAATATTTAACCTTGACCAAGGTTTCAGGCCTATTTATTGAGGCTTTTGGGTTTGGACCAAAGAATGTTTATGTACCTTAGATTTAACCTCTTCACTCCCCCCTTCGTGACTCATCTGACATATCCAGAAGAGTCACGTACTCAGGTTCCCCTCCAGGTTGGAGTTCTTGATAAGCCCACATGGCCATTACTTGAGCTGTCGCCCGTCTCTCCACCAATAAGGACAGACTGTTAGAAATAGTTTTGACAAAATGGGGGTAAAATACATGGGAGTATAACACAACCTGCAGCTATTAGTCCAATTAACCCTACAATTGCTTGCAATCCAGGTAGTTTTGGCCACCACCCGGAAAACATATCTCTCAGGTTTAATCCTTTCCAAGTTTGTACAGGTACATGAGCTATCTTAACCATCTTATCTGTGATTTCTTTTATGACCTTACCACTTTCATCTATTTCAATACAACAATTGGTTAGATTAAATTTTCCACACACTCCACCCTCCTTAGCAAGCAAATAATCTAAAGCCAGTCTATTTTGCATAATATAAGTTCTTGACTTCACACTTTCCCTAGCTAATTGGGTTAGGCCTTTTACTGTCTCGTTGGTAATTATTTCAACCACAGCCTGTAAACGAATCAACCTATTCAATATATATATAGGTGTTCGATAGCCATACAAACCATCCTCTGCCCAGGTTGCTGGTCCATAAACCTGTATAATTCGTTCCGCAGGCCATTCTTCCTCTCCCCATGTGGGTTGATTACCACCAACTTTTACCTTTCCTATGAGAGATGTATCCACATGCCTCTTTTGTCTATTCAGATTTCCCACTTCATCATACACAGGGACACCCAGAACCTGCCTAGTCTTCAAAGGTAAGAGAAAGAACCCGGTCTGATTATTCCTAACACACATGCTCCGCACCAATTCTTAGGTAGATATCCGTATGCCATCTTTCCACAAATCCAATATAGTCCATCGGGCGCTAGCCATCCGAGGGTCTGATTATCCGGATCATTCAAAAATGCCAAGCCTTCAATGTTAAATAGGGCTTGCTCATCAATACCCTCTGTTGCATTATTGCCCGACCACCATACTTTGCTTTCCCACTTTCCGATGCATATTAAATTTCCAACTTCTTTGCATCCTTTTATAATCTTGCGTTTAAAGCATACATTACCTACCAAATTAGTGGTAAGTGTCCAATCTCCATCCTTCCCCTTAGTGTATGACAAATTACCTTTCTGATCCATTTCTAATACCTTTGAATAATTTAACTCCTGAGCCTCCCATGGCCACTTTTCTCCCATATTGGTTCCCCCACAAACAAAACAGTTAGATACATTTAGAGTGTGTGCTATATCCTCAGCCAACTTAACAAAAGTATTAGTTACATATTTAGGGATCTCAGGGATGTTGAGTTTTTCCATTTCTAAATAAAATGACCAAAATAGTCCTTTTGTATCCTGTAATTTTCTAGTAGTTTTAGTGACATACCATCGAAGGGTTACAAGAGGATCCTTTCCCTTCGCATAGATTCCTAATCCATAGTCCTCCTTCCATAATTTTGTTGGGGTACATGTAATCTTTATCGGATTACATTGGTTCCGTTGACAGTTACTTCTAGCTACCCCATTTTCCAGCTTGCATCTTTGGGAGCCCCCTGGCTGACCTCCTGTCCACATTACTGCACAAGCCCAATATGGACAATAACTATATGTGTCCCGATCAATGCATTCTCCCTGCTTTCGGCACATGTACTTTTTGTCCAACATATAACTTCTTTCCCATTCTAATGTCCCACATGTTGATTTCCACACATCACAATTACGATTAATGGCCATGCAAGCATCAAAGGATAACTCAACCTGCCTTCCCAAGGACCGGAACTCTGTTTTGTTTAACAATTCTTCCCTTCCACACTCAGTAGTATATATTGACATTTCATATGTGGTAATTACTTTAGCCTCAGTGGGATTATAACATTGCACCTTGCCATTTAAGACACACATATGATATACTGTGGTTTTGACCTGACAGGTGGGTGGTGTATATGGTGTACATCCGTCAGGTTTGTAAGTATGATAGACTAAAGTTTTAGAAATTAAGGTGCCTTGGATTGTAGTCTTTATACAAGGGTTACATTGTTCCTTATCTATGGTCTTTATTGTACCCCGTGGTTTTACTACTGGTGACGCTATTACTGGAACCATTGCAGTTGTACTAGGTGAGGCTGATCGTGTGTGCAATGCAGGTGTTAGGGTGGTGGTTATCCTCTTACCTCGGTTTTTGAGCGCTTCCTCTAATGACATACCTCTCCGTCTTGGGTCGTAACAAAGTACCCCTTCCGTCCCATTACATCGGTAAACAACCATTGGGCGATCGGAGCCAAAAACACATGTGGTTAAATCAAACCATTCACAGGAGTTTGGTATTCCTGATCTCATTCGGATGGCTGTGCCATCCTCACTGAGACACGGCACACATGGTCCTCTTCCCACATGGTCCTCGAGCCCCCTGGCTTTTCTCATTTTCCCTTTTCCCTGTCTTGTTCTTGTTGCTCCAAATTCAAAGGGTTCTATTTTCAATATACAGGTCCCCTGCCATCCCGGTTTTAATTGAGTAGGGGATAGGACACGTTCCCATCCCCAATATCTAGGGGGTCCACAGTCTAGGGTTAAGGAGGAACTCCCCCCTTTGAAAGGGGCCGTAACACAAATTCCTTTACGCAAGACATAACCCACATACTGACATGCTTTCGGATTTGAGTAATCTCGGGCTTGACAAGCAATCATTGCTATCTTATCAAATATCCTAGGAGTCGTACAGGGATGCGGTAGAACACCATTCCAGCAATCCGGGGTGAACGCAATAGGTGGTGTTCCATCACAGGTCCCGCTGCCAATGTCATATGATTTAATTATGCTTGGTTGATCTTCCGGATTACTCCACAAACCCAAGTTACTAACACATACCAAATTGCTCTGAACCCCTATCAGCAATAGGCTCAGCCCTACCCATTCAGCCCCAAACCTTCCAGCTATATTTATCCTGACTCCATATTTTACAAGCATACTCATCTGCTTCCCGCCTTTCCAGTTCCACTCTTCTGGCATCTCGCAGTACAGCCTGTATTGTAGGGCTGGGTTTAAGAGTATAATAAGAAGGTTCCCCTGCACAAATTACCAAATAGTGAGAGAGCACGTCTTCTATGACCACTATATCACACTTGTCATTACAATGTATGCAAATAACACAATCAATACAATGTGCACAGCAACAGCATCCACACTTACAATGGCAAAACCAACACATACAATTAGCAAAAGAAAGTGAATACACAGTAAAGAAAGAAATAAAAAAACTTCTTCATCCAATCTTTTTCCCCCGTGCGTAGAAAGTCAGCTTCCGGTGTGACTTAGCAAGGGTTTCTTCCTTCCTTGAGAAATTCCTGCCACGTGATCAGCTCTGGCGGAGGAATAGACTGGGCGAAGAGAACAGAGTGAGGCAAACGGATTGGCGGATTAAGAGCCTCTCCACACAATCTTAGTCTATAGTGATAAAATATAAAAGGAACAAGAGCTAAAACAGCAACGATCCACAATCCCCACATCCAAGTCTCCCACATAAAGTGATGCCAATCTTCAGCCGTGCGCTGGGGAGCAGCTTCCGGTGTGCTCCGGCAGGGCAAGACGGTCTTTCCTTCTTATAGTCACTCGGACATACCTGGATACAGCATTCAAATAACCTATATATATATATATATATATATGAGACATCATTTAGTTGCGTCTAAGGGTAAGCTTGGTTGGATTTTTCGGGTCCATGGACACTCTCCAGCTCTTGTCTGCAGCCGCTTTAACTCGTGTCCAATGGATCCACGATTTGGACTCTGCAATTTTAACAGTGAGTGGGGAAGACATAACAACGGTGAAAGGTCCCTTCCATCTCCCCTCTAGCTGTTCTTTCTTCCAATATTTAACCCACACTCGATCTCCGGGCTTAAAGGGATGGCAGCGAGTTACTAATCTAGGGGGTACCTGTTCCATCACATATTTCTGTAGTTTTTCTACCTGTTTGCTCAGTTCTTGCACCATTTCCATATTCCAAACGCCCCCCTTATGACCCAAATCCGGCCATCCCAGCAGGTGTCGCCTCAAAAGGTTTGGAGGTCGCCCGAACATCAATTCATAGGGAGACAACTTGTGTTGTCCTCTTGGAGAGCTTCGAATTGCGTACAAAGCCAGCGGTAAAGCATCAGGCCATTTCAAATGACTTTCAGTACAAATCTTAGTAATTCTCTCTTTTAAGGTTCTGTTCAATCTCTCTATAGCGCCTCCTGATTGTGGATGAAAAGAACTGTGAAACCGCCACCTAATCCCCACAGCTTGAGTTACTGCCAGATTAACATGATGAACAAACTCAGGACCATTATCAGAAGAGATATTGGTAGGCATCCCAAACCTGGGTATAATCTCTTTCAGCAATAGCCTTGCTACTTCCCTCGCCTGTTTAGTTTTAGTAGGAAACGCCTCTGGCCACCCAGTATACATATCCACAATGACCAACATAGCCTTGAACAGTCCACACCTTGGCATATCAGTGAAATCAATCATAATGTAATCCATAGGAATGTATACACGTGGTATTGCTCGGGGGGCAATAAGGGTCCTTGTCTAGGATTAACCCTTGCACAGGTGATGCACTTGGCCACCACCCCCGCAGCAATGCCTGCTAGTCCATCAATGTAATAGTCTCTTTTTAAAGCTTCTTCCAGAGCTGTTTTTCCCATATGAGTAGTCTCATGGGCTAATTGCGCCAGAGTCCAAGCTACAGACGACGGCACATACACTCTCTGATCTGGCAACACGTACCATCCACTTTCCACCATAGCCTGTAAATCAGTCACTGCTTTTACACTTTCTTGTTGGGTATAGGTAGGTTTTATTTCAGGTGGTATCACTCCCATATCCATAGCTACACATATTGATAAGTCGGGGGTTGGCCCATGACGCTTGGCAGCTTCTCTCGCTTCTAAGTCCGCCGCCCTATTTCCCATAGTTATCCTATCATCTCCTCTTTGGTGTCCTTTACAATGCATCACTGCCACTTTCTTTGGTTTCTGTACGGCATCAAGTAAACGACTTATCAAATGCCCATGTAAGATGTATTTTCCAGCTGAATCTCTAAATCCTCTTTCTTTATACACTGCTCCATGCGCATGCAAAGTTAGAAAAGCATATTTACTATCAGTCCACACATTCAAGCATTCATCCTTGGCCCGTTCTAATACTCTTATTAATGCCCACAGTTCTGCTACTTGTGCACTATGTCCTTTTCCTAGAGGGCCACTTTCTACCACTCTTTCATCATCCACTATTGCATATCCAGACACTCTATTTCCTTCTACCATGTAGCTAGATCCATCTGTATACCAGTTAAGTTGGGCATCTGGCAAAGGGATATCAGTTAAATCAGCTTGACTAGCATACACTTTTTCAAGTACTTGCAAACAATCGTGCACCGGTTCCAACTCCGTTGGTAATAGAGTAGCCGGATTCAATCTATTTGAGACCACTAATCGCACCTGAGGGTTCTCAATCATTATAGCTTGGTACTTTGCTAAACGTTGTCCACTTATCCACAGATGTCCTTTTGCATCTAACACGATTGTACTGCATGAGGAGTATGCACATTTACGGGACAAGAAAAAGTAAGATTTTTGCAATCTTGTATTAGTTCCGTAATAGCAGCTAGCACTTTGAGACAATGAGGCCAGCCTTTTGCAACTCCATCCAGTTGTTTAGAAAGATAAGCCACCAGTTGCTGCCAGCTCCCAAGCGGCTGGGTCAATACCCCCAAAGCGATATTTTTGTTAGTATCTACATATAAATTGAAAGGTTTCTGCAAGTTTGGCAATGCTAATGCAGGGGCTTGTGTCAGAGCTTCCTTGATATCTCGGAATGCTTTCCTTTGTTCTCCTCCCCATTCTAATGGCTCAATGTTTGCCCCCCTTGTTGCAACATACAAAGGGGCGGCCATTAAAGCAAAATTTGGAATCCAAATCCGACAAAAGCTTGCTAGTCCCAGGAAGCTACGCAACTGTCTCTTTGTCTTTGGCTCTGCTAGAGCCAAAATTGCTTGTTTCCTCTCTGGCCCCAGCGCTCTTTGTCCGTGCTCAATATCGTACCCCAAATACCTCACACGCTGTTGCACCAGCTGGGCCTTTTTCCTGGAAACTCTATATCCACATACCAACAACAGATCTAGCAAAGCCTTGGTGTTTTCCCAACAAGCATCTTCATTCTGACCTGTTACAAGCACATCATCTACATATTGCAAGATAGTATCTCCCTGTTGGCATGGCATATAGTATTGTAAATCTTTGGCTAAGGCTGTTCCAAACAAGGTAGGAGAGTTTTTAAATCCTTGAGGAAGCCTAGTCCATGTATATTGAGATTTAGTTCCATTTCTTGGGTGTTCCCACTCAAATGCAAACAGAGGCTGACTAATTGGATGAATAGGTATCGTAAAGAAAGCATCCTTCAAATCTATAACGGAAAACCAAGCAGCTCGAGGTGGAATTAAGCTAAGTAGGGTATAGGGGTTCGACACGGCGGGGTGCAGGGTCACTGTCAGGCGGTTTACAGGGCGCAAATCCTGAACCGGCCTATAGGAGCCATCTGCCTTTTTAATTGGAATTATTGGGGTGTTCCATGGAGATTGAATAGGTACCAACACCCCTGCCTCAAGATATCTCTGAATAGTGTCATACACGGTGCAAACTGCTTCCCTAGACACAGGTCGTTGACCTATACGTATAGGGACAGCACCCGATTTCAGTTCCACCACTACCGGAAGATGATGAGCTGCAAATCCTGAGGGATTATCTTCAGCCCACAGTCCTGGTACATCAAACTCCTGCCATGCATCATCTCTAATCTCTTCCTTAATTTGCCTAACTACCATCAATCTCCACATCTCCTCCGGAGAATGTCTGACTGTCACTCTCTGTCAACCTGCATCAAAGGAAATGGTTGCTCCTAATTTACTAAGCAGATCCCTACCCAGTAATGGGAGCAGGCACTCAGGAATATAGAGGAACTCATGCTCTATTTTAGTTCCCTTAAAATCACACGATACAGGTTTCAAAACTGGATGCCCCAAAACAGTTCCCGACACTCCCTGAACCTGAACCGTATAAGGTCCAGGTGCTGCTATTGGTCTATTGACAACTGATCTTCCTGCTCCTGTATCTATCAAAAGGTTGTCTGTTGGCCCCCAACATCCACTGTCACCAATGGCTCGGATGGGGCCTCCTCCAAGCCTGGTCCCCATCAGTCCATCCAATCTGTTTCGGCCAGCCCCACAGTCTCCGGTATTTCTCGGAGCCTGTTGGGATTTCCGAAACCTCTATTCATTCCTCTAGTACCTCTCCGTCCACGAAATCCACCTCTTCCCATGAACTGGCCATCTCCTTGACTTACTCGATTTCCTTCAGCTGGCTGTACCCTTCCACCTCCTCTCCAGAAGGTCCTGGATTCACCCCTGCCTCTCATCATACGCCTTGGACATTCTCTCTGCCAGTGTCCTCACCTTTACAATAGGCGCACTGGGTTCGGTCCCAAGGACGTTCCTCCTTGCAAAGCCACCGCTAGCAATTCAGCCTTCTTTTGCATTTTGATTCTAGCGGCTCCTCCTCCTTCTCCTTCTTCTCCACTTTTTCCCTATTAACATACACTTTCCTTGCTATTTCCAACAACTCACTTGTGTTCTTCCCTAAAAGCTCCGTCCTGCTTCTGTAATTTTCTTCTAATCTCGTCGCAGCTTTGAGCTATGAACCTCTCATTCAATATCCTTATATTTTCGGGCAACCTGGGGTCCACCTGTGTATACAGCTCATAAGCCTCGACCAACCTCTGCAAGAAACTCTCAGGACTCTCATCTGCTCCCTGCGTTATTAGCGAGGGCTTAGACATATTTACCGGAGGTTTTCCTGCTGTCCTTAAGGCTCTTACCACCGCAGTTCTATATTCTGCCAAATGAGTCAGATCATCAGGCACCCGGGGATTCCATCCTGGATCCACCTCCGGCATTCGCAGCGGTAACTCTCTAGCAAAGTCAGCATCCCCTGGGAACGCTACTCTCACATTCTTCCTCATAGCTGCTTTCCACTTTTCTCTCTCTTCAGGGGTTAGTAAAACATTCAGCAACTGCTGTATATCATTCCAAGTAGGGTTATGGGTGTGCATAATGGTTTGGAAGAGGTCCGCCATCTCAGTAGGTTTAACCGAGAAGGGTCCATAATGTTGTTTCCAATTCAACAAATCAGTAGTGGAAAATGGAACATATTGAAACATAGGCTGTATTGCCACCTCACCTTGGGCATTCACAACTTGCTGATCCATCTGTCTTAAGGGGGCCACCAGTTCCACCTCAGCAGCTCTAGCAGCTCTTGCCTCTGCCTCCGCTAAGGCAGCAGCCTTTGCTGTGCGGGTCTGTACTCCTTCTACTACACCCCCAGCAGCTCCACGAGCCTCTTCTCCTTCCGCCTCACTCTGATCACTTCCATCCATCGATGGGCTTGTTTTCACCTTCAGGCTTCTCCCCGTATCATCTCTTCCTGTTCCATCATCCTGCATGCCTCCTCCTGCAGCACCCCCAATAGCACCCCCTACAACAGCCCCCCCGGCGGGTGGCTGATAAGCAGCCCCCCCAGCGGGCAGCTGATATGGCGGTAACGGCGGC